CCGTCCTCCAGGCAACAACTTAAAATTCTCGCCTGCAGAAATATCTTCGTGCCTATTTCTGACTAAATCCCAAAGTACGAAAACAGACATACTGTAAACAGCTGTTTGACTTGACTTTCCAGTTGCCTGACGACTTGAAAAGAAAAATTTATATCAAGTCGACGTTCAAGTTGTAAAAGTGCGAGTGTGTTAGTAAAAAGTGTGAGTGTATTGCAACTTGTTTTCAAGTTCTTGATAGGTGTAACCTCCAAGTTACAGACTATGGGCCTATAACAATCAGGATGTATGTCAATTGATAGTTAAGTACTCTGGTAACGCTGAAGTAAAAAAATGCCGAGTCGCCGCAACAGCAATGTAAAATTATGTCACCATAGTAAAAAGTTGTTTGACCATAGTAAACAGTTTTTTCACCACGGAACTTTGCTTCACACAGTCCCCAGCCAGTAAAAATTTAAGCATGACATCAAATATCGAGAAATTTGATAGCAAATATCAACTTGCCCCTGCTATTGATTGATATTTTAGTATAAATTACGACTGCTTCGGTTGACTCGTTTATTCTGAATAGAATCTTTGTAACAAGCGCTGCCATTTGCTTTTGGTATATCTTTTTGTATCTAGCGCTGGCCAAACTGACCGGAATGATCGACCTCGATCATGTATTCTTCTTTTTTGGCGCTGTAACCGCCTGAGCGAATTTGGCTGAGTTCAGCAAAGCACGCCAGTCGTTTCTCTTCTGTGCCAAGTGAAGCCAAGTCCTTCTCCACCTGATCTTTCCATCGCAGTGGGGGCCTCCCTCTTCCTCTGCTACCACCAGCGGGTTCCGAGTTGATGTTGAATACTTTCAGAGCGTCGGTGTCCATTCGAACGAAATGACCAAGCCAGCGGAGCCGCTGTATTTTAATTCGCTGAACTATGTCCATATCGTTGTAAAGCTCATACAGCTCATCGTTCCATCGTCTGCGGTACTCGCCGTCGCCAACGCGTAAAGGCCCGTAAATCTTCCGC